CGACCAACCGAAAACCTTCTTCATGGAGGGAATACACAAGCTTTTGGACTGCTGGACCAAGTGCACTGAAAAGGGAGGAGACTGTGTAGAAAAATGAAGTACTTGTTCTACCCCTACTTTTGTATACATGGATTGGAAAAACAAGAGTGCGGATAATTTTTGACTTCCCTACGTACTTAGCAACTTCACTGTTATCAGAGGTGTTCAACATGTCGCCCTCTTTTGTCCCCGTTTACAAAATATTTGTCGCTTCGACACTAAGTGACCTAGAAGCAAAACATGGAGTCACGACAAACATCCTCAACCACGAAAGCTTAAGATCAGAATTTGATGTCGCTTCAAAATGACAAACTCACACCCGTCTATGGCGGACATGCCGTCGGGGTAAAATCGGTGTACAGTGGCGACCTCCCCAGAGATTTGTATCACGCTGAGATTTCCCCAGTGGAGCTCTTCCAAACGCCTCAGCTAGTTGCGCTCAATTAAACTTGCGAGGAAATCATCATTATTAAAGATGAACGCCATTACCAGTTTCCTCACGTTACAGGCATAAGCTAAAACACGCTTTACTACTTCAAGGTTGTCTAAGTGAAGTTTAAGGGTGGTAATATTAAGCCGGGAATAGGGAAAACGAGTAGCTCACTATACTCGTAAGACATGCAGAAATGAAAACATTCCAAAATATGACAACAACGACCAATGGGCCTAATATCCACACCAGGAACATTAATCAGGTTTAAACATTTGAGTCGTTTGCCTAGCAATGGCAATAGTCCTTCTATGAGAGAAAAGCTAGAGTTAATGAAAGTCAGTTTCTCTAAGTTCATTAATTCTGTCGATTTAAATAATGACATCCTCAGTATGTTGGATATGGTAAGGGAAGTGACATTTCTAAACCTTTCAATTATGGGACAGGGATATATTCCATATGAGTTACATCCTAACGCTGTAATAAATTCAGACCGATCTGCGGTCTCCCCAATATCTACACGAAGAGTTGTAAACCCACTTAGGCAATTCAGCATAAATGGCAGTAAAGCTACATGAAGAAAATCAACACGACTTAAATCCAATTCGACGATATTCCTAAAACGTAAAAAGTGCTTAAAAACGTCAAACTGTGCAAGAAAATTACCATTAATATCCAAACACTTGATAAACCTGCAATTATTAGCAAGTGTTTCTAAATCTGATACCAAGAAACTGCGAGATCTGAACTCATCTGAAGTGTCTTCAAAACCACCTATATCCAAAGGCACAAAATTAGTCCTGTCCGCTTTTCCTATTTTCACTGCCCGCAGGCCGCAAAACAATGGCAATGCCTTGTATATTAATTTACAGTTTTCAATCTTATAATAGTCGAGCAGAGTCGGATAAATATCGTGCAAGCATTCAAGGCTCTCCACGGAATTATGCACTACAGATTTGAGAAGAAGAGGAGCCATTCTATCGCAGGCTCCCTGGAAATCTGTTATTCATCAGCTCGAGGTAGGTTAAATTGACATGTTTCATTAACTTCACTGTCACCTCCATGGCTATCACTACCGGCACATGTCCACTGATATTCTGTCCCAGAAGTCTGCACGGTTCCTGATCTCTGAAATAATACCTCAGGATCTCTTGGTGACGTGGGCCCTGTGATAATCCATTTCATGAAATCTGACACGCACACACACACCGCCTCAATTGCTAAATTCAATAGCTTATCAGGATATGCTGTCACAAACCTGCAAATAAAATTCAAGATCAAATTCCATTAGTTCTCATGTTTCTGTAACATGGAGGCCAGCCGCTTGGGCCTCCTCATTACAAATATCCTAAAATATGTTCTCAGGTTTTCGTGGCGGTGATTGTAAAGGAAAAGGTTATTAGGTTGTCAAATATTGCACTGCATGTGGCGGACACGATTTTCCAGAGGGATTTTCGGGATTCAAAGCACACAGTGAAACAAAGGAGACACACCATATCCTTAGTAACATATTTTCTTCTCAGAAATTCAAGTACAGAACATGTGCTCTGTCTATTAGGCATAAATCAGAAAATTTGTTGGTTCACCAGCCTACAGGTTCCACGGGACACGCTGCCTTATACGTGTATGTCGTCGTTCGGTTAGAATTGCCAGGTAATTAGCGCCTAATATCTTAACAAAGTTGCCTGTTATTTTTATTAGAACTGTAATAATATATTCACACAAGTTACAAAAATTCAATAAATGCATAAAAACAACTTCATAATGACCACATTCTTGCTACAATAAATATTTCCCTTCATTTTGTAAGCAGAACTTCAAGCATAATGGGTTCCTACAACCTCCCCCCTTGGAACATTATGCTCCCATCTTCTGCAATACATAAAACATCTGGAACGAGTTTCAGATCTTCTGATATTCACAACTGTCAGGTCTCGGAAGTCATGCTGTTACGACTTAAAGATATCTTGCCCTGACCACCTGAGTGTCAACGAATACAACTTTTGTCAAGAACCTTGCACCATGCACTTGGCCTAAAAATTCCAATTATTTCATTTAAATTTCTTTATCAATACTGAAATGTTCCAGATCTTTTAAGAGATCATCTGAGGGCATAAAAACGATACTTACGATCTCAAAACATCAGAAATAAATAATAAAAAAAATCAAATTGCAAAAATTATGCATTTTTACTCAAATTTCAGTATCTTCTTTCCTTAAACGTGAACGCTACTTGATAATAAAATAAATATAAATGCAGGAAAGGGTTGCATTCACTTCAATACATTAAATTTTTGGAGGGTATAAGAGTTTGCTGAAAATCAAACAAAGAGTGTCAAGTCAAAACATGTGGAGCCATGACTGTAGCACATGCCTTACAACAGACCTGTGTGACATTCGGCAACAAAGTTCAAGATGCAAGACAGGCATTTCTCTGAACAAATACAGTACTTCCAGGGGCAGGGTTAAGAGTTTCCAGAGATATTGCCAAATCTTGGTGTTTTAAAATCCTGTCCTGCAATATCTGTAGCTGTCAGAAAGTCCTTCTGTGAATAACTTAAATCAAGAATAGTTCCAAAAATTTACTCCAAAAAATATAGGAAAAACAATATACTGTAACACATTCCAAGGAAAAACATAGCCAGGAAGAAGTGTACAGACAAGAACATAGGAAGGTCATTAGCAAATCAGTATGTGAATTTTGTAATCATACATCACTGAATAGCATATTCTCATATTCTTGCAGGTTTTAGAATAGAGATATATGCACATTTTGTCATTTTAATGCATAAAAATCTTATGTCTAGTTGTCAGTGTATTAATATTTCCAGATCTACAATACGAAACTTCCAGTGTGTCATAAAATTTAACCCTTGTTCTTGTATTTTCCATCAGTCGACAAATGCCAGTTACATTTGAGAAAACAGTTAATTCAGCTCTTGGTGTTAGTAAAGTTATTCAGACTGTATTTATCTAAACAATTTCACGTATATTTGAACTAGTTCAGAATTATGTTCCAAGGTGCACTTCGGTACCAGAAATGTTGTACTGGCAGCCGCTGTCATTTAAATCCTTCCTTATTACATCCAGAATATCCTGGGAACATGGACCAAACACAAGCAGTCTGCTGATTGGCTAATCTGTGTCAAAACTATTACATTAATATACTACAATTCTCAGTTGTTACAGAGTAAAGAGCGCTTTAAGTTACATACATGGAGTCTATCTACAGTGGGAAATGAACAGAATTCATAAACACCGATGACAAACAGACAGTATAATCATCCAAATACAGCATTCATGAATCCATACTTTTTGGATGGTCATAAAATTCATCAGTCAAATTACAATATAACACATCTAAAAACATTAAGTCACACACATCATTAATTGAAGTGTGGCCATATGGTGTACAAGGGGAATTCAAACAATAAATGAACTTGGGATATAAATTTTTCTTTTTGTTTCCGTCTCAACACAACAACCAATAGAATCTCATTCACATTCAACTATGATACAGAGTGAAATGTCAATGAGATTCTTATGGTTGTGTTGAGACGGAAACCAAAGGAATTTATATAGCATAACACAACAGGATGCATTCCTTAAAGAACTCGCGATAGACTAATGAAAGATGTCTAGTAAAAAGGATGTGCTGCTACATGACCAATGTTACAATGCACAGTGTATGTCCAGACTGGAGGCAGCCATTTTGAACAGCACCTCACATAATTAGCATTTAGCTGCAACCCTACCTGCTATTTTTTGTATTACAAATTGTCATTACATATTACATTTATAATTTAATCAGCAATGATTATGAAATATGTTAATTCCCACTTAGTATTCCACTACAGTAGAATCCATCTCCATATTGCTTATAGCTGTGTACTGTTTAAAAAATGTATTTAAGTCGTGTAACATTTAGAACCTGCTGCTTGCTTGGCTTATGCTTTCATCCTCAAGATGGGGGAAGTATATTCCCTCATAACGCAATTGGTCCATGCCTCTTGGGACACATGCTATACAGTGATACCCTGGTTACATGTTTTTGCATTTATAGAACTTTTCTCCTCATCCAAGCTAAAGGCCAATCTAAACAGCTAATGCAGTTAATGAACTTTGATTCAGTAAATAATTCACATTTAGCCTTACAAATTTTTCAAACTTCCAGAACAAATACTTTAATTTAGTGCAACTGTGGTTGAAACCACAATAAACATTCATGTTTTCTCTCTGCCAGCAATCACAGAAATCACTAACAGCTATAATCTCTGAAGTGATATCAAACACTGAACAGGCACTGAAACCATGCCACTGATTCTCAACTGAGGTTCTTGCAGTGTTTATCCAATATGACAATAATAACTTTAGAAATGAATATGAAACTACTAATTAAATGACTGTAATTGTACAGGGGATATCTCTAATTACTTATGTAAAGAAACTGAAGGTTATCTTCTGGGTTTAGGCACCGTGTATTCTTCGTTTTGGCCGACGTTTCAGAGGAACGTCGGCCAAAACGAAGAATACACGGCGCCTAAACCCAGAAGACGACTTTCTTCATTGTCATCGCCGTGAAAACCTCAAAACTTACAAACTGAAGGTTGTTCAAATGGAACCTGTTCAAGGATTATTCTGGTGAGAGGAGTAGAGGCTGCTATGACTGGTCCCCATGGACACTGAGGCAGGTATCCCACTGACATACCTGATGATGGCTCCCTCTGCAAGAACTACCTGGGCTGCTGCCAGAACCACCATCACTGAACCTTCACATCTTCATCAGACCTGAACTAATAGCCCTGTAGTGCTTTCTTGAAGTCTCTAACATGTGTGTTCCATTCGAACAGCCTTCATATTATCATAATATATACACATGCCTTATAAAAAGATGAAATTTCTTCATGTTATTTATCAGAACATCTATATAATGAAAACCTCAATTTAGTGTAAGAAAAGCCATTTCCACAGACATTCATTAAGCAGAGATTTTGCTGTATTACATACACATGAAAGACAGGCAAATTTGTTCCAAATATCTCTTTGAACTAAAACGTCTTCTTCAAACAATAGTTTTATCCTCAATTTTGATTTTTTCATAACTTCATCAGAACACTACTACAAGAACGTCCCTGGCAAACATATTTTAATACAGACATTTCTAAATCAAAAGTGACCTATATGTAAATAATTACAGTATGCTTGAACAAGATATGACTAAGCTTAAACTAAAATTGTTTAAAGAGGTAAAAATGCCCAACACCAACTTCACATTTGTGGTTGACAGAGAAACTGTTTGTTCTTGTATTTATTTTGTAATTGGCGGAGCGGCAAAAAACTTCTTGCTCCTCTTCCGAAAAGTACTGAAAGTTAAGAAGAGAATGAAAGCATTAGAACTCTCAGCAATAAAATATACAGGAATATTACAATTTAAATATGATTTATCCTGCGAAAGGTATCAACTGGAACAAGAAGACAGGGAACAATGCACTCCAAACTATACGACACAAAGAGCTCTATCTTCTTGCATACAAAGCCCTGTAGTCCCTTGAAAGTCAACCTATATTTCAGAGGAACATGTTGCCTAAATCTTCTGGGTGAAGGGCAAGCTAAGCAAGAAGCCAGCATGAAGCAGGTAGCAAGCAGAATCCTTCTGGAGGCAACATGTTCCTCTGAAATGTAGGTTGACGAGACTAGACGGTCTTACATCCCAGACAATGGAAGTCTTCATAACCACGGCTGTGAGAACCTCCAGTCCTACATACTGTACTACACAAAATTCCCAGTGGCATTCTTTGCAGTTTCTTATGCTTACCTGTGACTGGTTTATAAACAGCATTTTAGCAGAACACAAAATACATTCAATAAAACAAGGAAAATTCATATTTCATCAGCATAATAATGCACAATACTGAATTGCAACAAAATCTGTGAAACAGATTGTGGCATGAGTTTCCTCCAGTTTCCTCCACTCAAGCCTCTGTGTGGGTCAAATTCCTCACTTCTCACTTCATATAGGCAGCAGCTCTCAAAACAGACACCTCTTTGCCAATTCTCAGGTACACATTTCCCTCCTATTACAAAAACTTACAGCGACCCTTCTTCCTCATTTGTGACAAAAAAAAACTAATGTGGCCCTTACAAGGGTCTTCTCTCTCACAGAGATCCAGACTGAGTTCCACTCTTTACCCCCACAACTGAACTACATGGCCATTCTCTTTGGAAACCTGAACCTACATACCTCAACCCTGAAGACCGAAATCAAAAGAAATAAGACTGTTATAAAATACCAAGTCGCATTATCAGAATGACTCAAGAGGCCACTGGTGTGGTTCTAATTCTCAACCATTTTTATTCAGTTCATATCCTCACAATCTACCTCTTTAAGAGCCGTTCTGATACTGTCCTCTGACTAGAAGAAGGATATCTGGGGGGGGGGGTTAAAAGTCCAGTAAAAATGCAAAGACTTTCCCCCAGAAGTAGCAGTGCTGCCATGTGAGATATGAACCCTATTGCAGGGCAAAGTTCCGTCCACAGTCATGGCAACATTGTGCTCACAGTGTGTGTTTAAAATGGCCGTGTCAATTCAAAATCCGACCAAATGTGATGTTCGTGCAGTAATTCGATTTCTTCATGTGAAAGGAGAAACAGCTGCCGGAATTCATTGCCAACTTGTTTCTGTTTACGGCGAAGATGTTATGAACAGGCAAAACATGGCAAAATGGCGTGAATTTGAAGCGGGAAGAAGTGATGCTCATCATGAAGGCCATCCATTGTTACTGATGAAATTATCCAAAAAACCGATGAAAACATTCGTGGTGACAGATTTTTGAGTATCGATGAACTTCATCAACAATGACCGGAAGTGTCGAGAGCTGTTCTCCATGGCTAAGAGAGCAGGCGGGAGATTTCTGCAATGCTGGGATAGAAAAATAAGTTCCCAGGCTGAGTACGTTGTGATGCATGGTGACTATGTTGAAGAGCAAAGCAGCCTCCGTAGTCTAGTGGTAACATTCCCACCTCATGACTCAAGGTACACGGGTTCAAACACGGCGGAGGTCATGGAATTTTTAAGGGTGGAAAAATTCCGGGAACAAGTCCTTCGGGAGGGACTTTAAGCCGTGTGTCCTGTGTCATAGATTTACGGCACATAAAAGATCCTCATGTCTCTAGGAGACCTCTGAGCAAAATTAGGCAAAGTTTCCCACCCAAGTAGTTTCCAATTCCTCCGGTAGATGGGGAAGTATCGGGGACCACTGCCAGAGAGGGCCGACCTCGCTGGCAGAATGGGGCTGATAGCGAGCACCAGTATTGGAAGGGCATGGCGACTAGTAGAATAATTAAAGGGGGACGCACAATAGATCAACAACTGGTCGCAGTGCATGGGGAAACCCACCCCCTCCAAAATAATAATAATATTGAAGAGCAAATAAACGTGTGTTGTAAAAGTGCTAAAAGTGAATAAAAAAAGTGTTTACAAATATTTTCTGGTGTTTGTATCTTTACTTTCTGGATATCCTTCATATATTGTACAAATCACATAAGTGGTATTTTTCTTTGGGTTTTAAGTACTATAATTTTGTACGCTCTACTTCCTCTATCCATGCTGCTTCTTAAAGTCACTAACAATATTCAGCCAGATATTAAGGCTTTTGACATAACATCATGTAGTCTTGTAGTAAGATAGCAAACCTTCTAAGGAACTTTCTGCCTCTATCTTCAAGGCAGAAGAACCTGGAGTCAGCAGATTCCTTGGAATGGTTCATACCTTTCTAGCAAACAGCACCTATCTGTGAAGTAACCTTCACTGTAACCTCAGAATCTCAATACCCACAGGATGAGCTGAAGAGCGAAGCTTACGTAACACATGTGGCCTTATCTCACCTCATATTTATTCACTCCTTAGCATTTTTTGTCCCAAATAAAACACACTTTCACAAACAGTGATTTTCTCTTTCCCATAGAGGAGTTCCATCACCGTGGTCCCTACCTGGATGCGGGCGTAAAGCCACTCCTTGAAGCACTGCCCACAGGCGGATTCAAACGCTCTGGTGAAGGTGTGAGATAATGTTCAATTTGTGGATATATGGACACCGCAGTGCCCACATTCACAAAGTTGGCCCAGTAGTCACTCGGAATGCTCAACAGATGCTCAATCACCTACACAGGCACCGTTACATACAGTGAAATCACTATTTAATGAAGCTCCAGTGGAATGGCTCTTGTAACAAAAATCACAGGTTTCAACAAATGGAGGTAATACAAAATTACACAAAGAAATTATTCATCTTCTTATAAGAATTACTGCAAATAATTATGACAAAATAATTTCTTCGCACAAGTCATGAAAATGATATAACTGTATAGTCAATAATATCAAGTTAATTTGTAAAATGCTTAATGACGAATGAAACCAGCTATAACACCAACACCAATGTGAGATATCACCAACAAAATATTATGGCTTTGATGTGGGCGGGACCAAAGCTATACCTGTCACAGGCCATGGAGGCCCACAGGGTTGTGAGATGTCAAGGCTCCCACATTTTCTAGACAATTGGCTCTCAGATGGCGGTGAGGTTGTCAGCCTTATGTGACAGTCACTCTTTAACCCAAGAAGATTCCTGGTACTCATTTCTGTTAGAGGCTAAGTTAACCCCACAGCCACAGTGCTGCTGGAAGGGTTAGGTTAATTGAAAAATACAATAACCTCATTGGGAATCGAACCCACAACCTTCCTGCTTGTAGCATAGTGCCCCAGCCATGCTACCACGTGCCCTGATTATGGTTGTTCAGTAACGATTTTCAATGTATTGTTACTTCAACCAAGATCGCACTAAACAGAGGTCGAGCTACAACAAAAATTTCACACACTACTGTGGGTTATTCACCAAATACTGAATATATTACAATGTCCATATTGGCCTTCAATTTGGACCTCCCCCACCCCAAATACCACTAAAATAAGGGATTTCTTAAATGCAGGAATACAAAATGAGAGTTCACTATAATATATATACTTATGTACTTACTGTATGCACATATGGTACAGAATCATGTCTTAGAGATGCACCTCTTTGTCTAAAGCATGTGAAATGAACTTTTAATGGTCATGTCAGTCTCCTGCATGTTTCAACTCCAAACTAATACACTTCAATCAGTATCAACAGCCTGCTGTCAAAGCCTGAAGGATTTCAATTTGTTAACCACGTGTAACAATTACTTACAGCTGGCTGCCTCTTAGTTTCATGCAGTATGTCAACTGGTGAAGGGTTTGTCCTTGAGTACCCCACAATAGTTGGACCAAATACTTTTGCGATGTTAGACGCTGGCATTCTACAGTCAGGGGATGCTGCTACCCTACAAATACAAAAATGAACATAAAATTTTGGTACTGGCTGGAAGTGCTGCACCTAACTTATAACAAGCCGGAATGCTAACAGAATAGAAAGAAAATGTTTGGCAATGAATCACAGGATGATTAGCGAATAATAAATTGGAAAATATGTGGAATTCATTTACAGATACAAAGTCCGTGCTCTTCATCATTGTCATCTGCCAGTGATGTGTCTATTTTGGTTGGTCATCGTATGATAATTTTGTCTCCATTCTTCCCTATTCCAAAACTACAGAGTAATTGAAACACTTTCAGATACCGCTACTACAATACTCATTAACTTCAGAGATGCAACATATAGTGTAGGTAGCTAACTTAACAAAGTTCTTCTCTAAAACCCAGCCAGTAACACAATTCCCTTCTCAACTGCTAGGGGCACACATGTTGTGAAAATGGCATTTATACAGGAGACGGCTTTCTGTATCACGTTCTGAATTCTGTTATATGTGTGCAAAGGTTTCATATATGTTTCCAGAAGAGCCATCCCAATGAAAAGGTGAGAGATCTGATGACAAAAGAATGGAAAGGGTTGCCATCATAAAAACTTATATTTTCTAATTATCACTTCACAACATGTTTCAGCCTAGACAGGCCAACATCAGGCAATTTTTGAGGAAACACACAAATGGTGATGAACTACATAAACTACAGCACTACTATAAAACATATTCTTTGTTAGTTACATAGTGGTTTGATCCGACAATACTAAATATACTTGACATTTTAAATTAAGATTTAAAGAATTACATTAGAACAATGCAAACTGAGGTCCCCTAAGAGATGTGGTTCTGTATGTTCTGAAGCTGGTCTTGTGGCGGGTGGAGATTTGGGTTATGCAGTGCCTGTGTTTCCTTCCTTTGTGGAGGACTGCTTCTGGTAGCCATTGCATCTGTCTGCTATTGTCTGAGTGGTGCCAGGGTGTAGATGGAAATACGTAGAGCAGTTCTCTGTGGTGATGGATCCTTGTCCTGGTGTGGTATGTAACAGCATAGGGGAGTATATTATGAATATTTATTATGGTGGATCTGACCAATTGCAAATAGCAAAGGAAGTGTTTTATAATATCACTTTAGTTTATATGTAATCCATCAGTATTTGCATATTTCCTTGAGAATCGCCTGATAATGGCCTGTCTAGGCCAAAACATGTTGCCCATTGATAAATAAAAGCATCTATTTGTGTGATGCCAACCCCTTCATTTTATTTGAGAGCACCAGTAACAGGATGCAACACTTCAAAACCTGATCACACCCATGTCATTGATAAAACTGTGCTCCATGGGAAGAAGGCCTTCCAGCACAGCCCACCCAAGCCCACTTACAGATGTAACCGTGGGGTTACATGAGGGACTGCATTAGTACCACTGCTGCCAACAGCTACTCAAGATCAAAACTGCATAGTCAATTGAGCACTGGCTTCCATTACCAGATATGTGATGAAGGTATGGAGGGAAGTGGAGTATAGGAGCAATGCCTCCCACATAACCTGCAGGTCTCATGTTGTCTCTAAGGTCTATGCAAAACTTGAGAAACTTTCTATCAGACTTTCATGAACACCATTTGGATAATTTAATTTCTGTGGTTTTTTAATGTCTTCATTATGAAATACCTTGTATAGTTCTTGCATCACTGTCCACATTTCCATACTGTTCTGTGTATCTTACATAATTTGATCTCTCCAATGTTTGTTTATACATTCAGAGTACGCTCCCACTATGAGTGACAAACTTACCTTTGCAGGTGCATGATAAGGAAAGCAAGAGTATCCCTGTTTGGTTGTGGGAGCTCGGATATGGCTTGGAACATGGCAGCCCTGGCATCGTCTGGATCAGAATTCTCTGCAGCTTTTACAAAATCGTGCCATAATGTGTATGAGAGCAGAGGTTCATGTAATGAACGTAAGAAATCCTTGATGGCACCAGACACTACATTGATATCTATCTTTGACAAGTTTGGAACTCCCTTAGCACGAAGAAATTTCTCCTGCATAAAGAAATATCTTACACTAGAGACAAAACATGATTAAACTCTTATTTAAGGTTTATTTGAGGATCAGTGGATTTGAGCACTAAGCTGAAGATATTAAACATAGGTAATGTATGAATAAATGAACATAACTCAGGACATGAAAAAAGAACCCATATTACAAATGGGGTCTGACAAAATGATACTGAGACATGTATAAAACCCTTCAGTCAGATTTCCTGATAGGAGTGAATGGGAAGAGGGGTTTCGGCCCAATAGAAAAGGGGGACTGATATGGTATACAGATGGTTCCAAGATAAATAAGGGCACTGGAGCTAGTGTGTTCTGCTATGGAATGAGGCAGAAACTTAGTTTCCACCTCGGACAGTTCACGAAAGTATTCCAGGCAGAAGTATATGCCATTAAGGCATGTATTATGGAGAATCTAGATAGGAACTACAGAAATAGGAACATCTACATTCTATCTGACAGCCAAGCTGCACTTAAAGCGCTTGACAAACACCAGATCAACTCAAATTTGGTCTGGGTTTTCCACCAAACCCTCATGGAACTGGCCAAACATAACAGGGTACAACTGATATGGATGCCGGGGCATGAGGGTATCGCTGGAAATGAAACAACAGACCAATTGGCTAAGACTGGAGCTGAACATCCGTTCATAAGACCTGAACCAGCCTGTGGCATCTCTATAGGAGTTGCCAGAAAGGCAATCAGGGACTGGACACATATGAATCACACGAAATACTGGGGATCCTTGACTGGACTCAGGCAAGCAAACAAACTCATACGAGGACCCTCTACTAAAAGAGCGAAGCATCTGTTGAAGTTATACAGGAACCAGTTACGATGGGTGGTAGGACTACTTACAGGACACTGTCACCTCAAAGGACACCTCTTCAAACTGGGACTAAGTGATAGTCCAACTTGTGAGAGGCGTCAAGAAGAAATCAAAACAGCCACACATATCCTGTGTGAATGTGAGGCCATAGCTTATTTAAGATTGCGCCACTTGGGTCAATATTTTATGAAATCAAGTGACTATTTCAACGTCCCCATGTACAAAATCCCGCGTTTCATTCGAAGTGCAGGATTGTTGAGGGATAATCAGAAGGGGAGGCATAGTAGATCACTGTGGTTGCAGTGCATGGGCCAAGAAGGCCCACCACTTATACATTCATTCATTAAGTAATGTAAGGCTGAGATTACTGACTCTGAAGCATTAAAATTGATCATTAAATGGAGAAAATCTTAAACGGAGGATTCTGCAGAGTGAATCACTTGAAGAAAGCTCTGAATTAACAAGTACAGGTATAAGTGATCTACCAGTGAAACTGTAACTGAGCAAGTAAATATTTTCGTAGAGGTGAAGATAATCGGATTACAGAAGATGAAATTTGTTTCCCTCTGTTTGGAGACACAAACTCGCATGACGTTCCACGTTTGCAAATGACGCAGCCAGCTACACACCCACACAACATGTGGAATCACATACTGAAGGGAACAGAGCAAACCCAGGCAAGCAGGCATCAGGCCAGTTTTGCAAAGAACACAGTGTTGCCAAGTTTCACTTTCAAAGGTAAATTACTAAATAAAAAGTAAAGCTATTCCTGTAACAGGCTGTGGAGGCCCGTAGGGTTGTGAGACATCAAGGCTCCCACATTTGGTAGACAGGTCACAGATGGGATGGTGGTAAGGTTGTCAGCCTTACGGGCCGGCTGGCCACCCTTTACTGCAGGAAGATTCCTGGTACTCATTTCTGTTAGAGGCTGAGTCAACCCCAGGGCCATAGTGTGGCTGGAAGGATTAGGTCACTTGAAAAAGCCAATGACCTCATCAAAAATTTAAACCGTGACCTTCCATCTTGTATCATAGTGCCTGATCCAACTACGCTACAATTACTATGTGATTTACTATTATTAATAGCGGCCTCCATAGTCTAGGGATAACGTTCCCACCTCATGACTCAAGGTACGTGGGTTCAAACCCGGTGGAGGTCGTGGAATTTTTAAGGGCGGAAAAATTCAGGGAACAAGTCCTCCGGGAGGGACTTTAAGCCGTGGGTCCCGTGTCGTAGCTTTACGGCA